CCATCCAAGTATCCATCCACCCCCCCCCTCCCCAGCACTACTTGATCAGACAACAGCAACCACGCCATCATGGCCGGACGGTATGTGCGAGGGCCGGGCGTCGGGTCCGTGGCGCGCGTCGTCTCGAACACGCGCCGAAAGGGCAAAGGCCCAGAAGCACGCAGCGGTATTGACCGTCGCCGTGCGTTGGAGGCGCGCGTGCAAGCGGCGGAACAGGACATCACCGCCCACAAGGAAACCTTGTACAAGGTGCGACATGGTTGTATGACTGACTGTATGAGCGAGGGAAAGAGGTGGGGCGAGGAGGGAACTTGCGGTGGAAAGCTGTGCGGGGAGCGGGAGATGCACGAAAAGAGGGGATGACTGGATGATCAGGCTGCACAGGATGGTTGGTTGGCCCTCCCCCCCCCCCCCCCAAACACACACACACACACACTCACGCAAAACATTCACATGTGGTAGGAGCGGTGGGTTGAGCGCACGACGCGCAAGGCCAAGGCCAAGGCTGCGGAGATGCGCATGCAGGAGATCCTCGACGAAGAACAGCAAGAACTAGAGCGGCGCCGTGCAAAGTGGGTCGCGGAGGTGGTGGTGGTGGTGATTGCTGAGGTGATGATTGATTGTTCAGGTGATTGCGGTGATTGTTGATGTCGCATGGCCACACCCCATTGCACGACTTGGTTGAACGACATGCGTGAGTGTGTGTGTGTGTGTGTGTGTGTTTGTGTGTGTCGCTGCTCACGCGCGTGGTTGCTTTGACGTGTGTATGTATTTGCGTGTTTCCAGACTGCGGCAGATGTTAGCTGATGAGGAGCGGCATCTGTTGGCGGAGGCAGCGGCGCAGGTCGAAACCCCGCTCGAGAAGCAGGTCTGTATTCGACGATGCAGCAAATCGCATATGGTGCCGTTGCTTGCACGCACGTGTATGTGTGTGCTGTGTGTGTGTGTGTGTGTGTATGTGTGTTTGTGTGCATATTTTGACACGTGTGGTTGGTGCACTTCACCTTCACTTCGACCCCCACAACAATCGCCACCCACCACTCACCAACCGCCACCACCATCACCACTGTGACGGCAGGCGCGCATGCGTGAGCGGGTGCGTGAGTTGCGTGAGGAGCGTGAGAGCGACCGACAGCGCGAGGCGAAGGAGCGCAAGCGCCAGCAGTTTCTCATGAACAGCGAACCCGTTCGCCAGCTCAAACGCAAGCAGGAACTCGAGGTGAGGGTGATGTTGTTGGTGCTGATGGTGATGTTGTGATGCTGATATGGTAATGTGGTGGTGGTAATGTGGTGGTGGTGATGATGCGTTTGTTGTGTACATGCCTGCGGTTGCTTGTGCACGTGCGGGTGAAGGGGATGTTCGCATGCCACATCACCATGCACCATGTGTTCACGACTGACGCCACCCATCCTGCCTTGTGCACCGCATCAGAAACTCGTCCAACACCGCGACGTACAGCTCAAGGAGAAGGAAATTGTCAAGCAGCACGAGAAAGAAGGTGGGACTGTGGCCACGTGTGTGTGTGTGTGTGTGTGTGTGCGTGTGTGTGTATCTGTGTCTGTGTCTGTGTGTATGCGTATGTGCATGTGTGTGTGCGTGTGCGCGTTTGTTTGTTTGTTTGTCTGAATGTGAGTGTGCATGTATCTTGGGTGGTCGTGTGTTGTGTGGTTGAATGTCTTGACTACATTCTCTCCGCATTTCAGACTGCCTTCACTCACTCACTCTCTCACTCACTCACTCACTCACGCACTCACGCACTCACTCACTCACACACAATATCTCACTCACTCGCTCATTCACAATCACAATCACAACCCCCCCCCCCCCTATTCGCCGCCATCAGTGGACGAGTTCTTCTCGCGGATGTGGCTGGAGGACAAAGCAAGCAAAGACCGGCGCTACGCCGAGGAACAGCAGCAACGGGCGCAACGAGCGCGACAACAGCAGATGGTGCTCAACGAACAGATGCAGGCTGTCGAGCAGGCCAGGCAGCAGCAGTTGCTGTTGGTCGAGGAGGAGAGAAAGCTCAGGGTACGTGTCTCTGGCCAACGTGGTGGTGGTGGTGGTGCTCGTGTGTTCGTTTGTGTTTGTTCGTGTGTGGTGGTGTGTGTGTGTGTGCATGCGCGGTGGTGTAAGGTGGAGTCGCGGGGTGCAAGTGGTCATATGCTGTTGTTAACGTGGCTGCACCCTTCTCACATCGCCAATAATTACCAACCACCGGCACAACAACAACAACAACACCAACAACAACAACAACAACAACAACAACAACAACAACAACAACAACAACAACAACAACAACAACAACAACAACAACAACAACAACAACAACAACAACAACAACAACACCACCACCACCAACAACAACAACAACAACAACAACAACAACAACAACAACAACAACAACACGTTTGCGCACGTGCGCAGCTGCAAGCGCAGGAGCAGGCTGCGATTGAGGCGAAGAGACAGCAGGAGGAGGAACGGCGGGGGCGGCAGCGCATGATGGCGGAACTCGACAGATTCAACAAGTGCGATGCACAGAGAGGGATGGGTGTTGGTGATGATGGTGGTGTGGTGTGATGGTGCGGTGTTGATGGTGATGATGGTGGTGTGGTGGTCGGAAGCTCATTTCATGTGCTGTCTCTACACCCCCTTGCACGTTCTCACTCCTTCATTCCCTCACAACCTATCTTAAACGCGCGTGGACACACACACTCTCCCCCCCCCACCACACACACACACACACATACACACACACACACACACACACACACACACACTCTCTCTCTCTCTCTCTCTCTCTCTCTCTCTCTCTCTCTCTCTCTCTCTCTCTCTCTCTCTCTCTCTCTCTCTCTCTCTCTCCCACCACACGCATTGACAGGCAAACGATTGAGCTGCGAGCACAGGAGGCCCAGAGGGAACTGGAGCAGGATCTGCAATATCTCCAGGAGAATATCGACGCTGTGAAGGGGGAAGCAGAGGCGGAGCGGGAGCGTAAGGCGCAAGTGATGCAGGAGGTGAAGATGTACAATGACTACATCCAGCAGATGAAGGCGTTTGAGAAGCAGCGCGAGCGGCAGGTTCGAGGAGTTTTTCAGGCAGAAGGAAGAGAAGGTCGGTTTCATCATGGACTTGTGTGTGTGGATGTGTGTGTGTGTGTGTGTGTGTGTGTGTGTGTGTGTGTGTGTGTGTGTGTGTGTGTGTGTACATGGATGTGGTCATTTGTTTGCTTGCTTTCATCGTTTCGTTGAGGGGTTAGTGATTGCACTCATCTCTAACTTGGACACCCTGTTCATGAACCCGCCACCACATCATCATCACCATCACCATCATGCGTCGCCGCCATCGCCACGGCTGGGCAGGCGATGCAAGCGCTGCTTGACAAGTTGGAGCGCGAGCGACAGGCGCGGCAACAGCTCCTCGATGAAGTCATGCAGACACGAAGGCAGCAGATTGACGCAAAGCGTACGTGCTTGCTTGCTGTTGTGTGTGTGTGTGTGTTGTTGTTGTTGTTGTTGTTGTTGTTGTTGTTGTTGTTGTTGTTGTTGTTGTTGTTGTTGTTGTTGTTGTTGTTGTTGTTGTTCCCATGCGTTGCTACGCTTTTAGCGAATACGACGTCACTTACACACACACATGCACACATGCACACATGCACACATACACACACTCATACACACATATGCCCCCCATCCCCTGCGTGCAGTGCAAGCGGTTGAGCTTGAGAAGATGGAGGCGGCACAGGAGTACCACAACCTCGTCCGCGCAATCAAAGGTGAGCAGACGGAGGTGGAGTTGTGCACTGTGAGGCGAGGGTGGAGGCTGCCTGTTTGATTGAGGGTCGAAATACACGTGCATCAAGTACACGCAGTACCGACAGCACCCACTTGCACACTTATGCATTCATTCACTCACTGACACACACACGCTCACCCCTTGACAGAGCAAGAGGCTGCTGAGGAGGAGCGGAAGAAGAGCGAGCGCATCCGTGCGCGCGAGGCAGCGAAGGCGCTGCAGGAACAGGCACAGGACAACGCGCGGCGCAGGCGCGAGGAGGAACAGAGACAGGCCGACGAAGCAAGGTGGCGTGTCGGTGTCTGTTGTGGCTTGATGGCGTGTGTGTGTGTGTGTGTGTGTGTGTGTGTGTGTGTGTGTGTATCTGTGTATATGTGTGTGTGTGTTTGAATGGCTACACGCGCGTCCGTGTGTTTGTGTGTATTTGCAGTGCAGGTGACCACATTATTATGGCCATGCGTGTGCTTGCACTACGCATCTCACACCACCAATCATCACCAATCACCACCAATCACCACCAATCATCACCAATCACCACCAATCACCACCAATCACCACCAATCACCACCATGTACTATAAAGGCGGCTTCGCGAAATGGACCGGCAGTACGAGGAAACTCTAACGCGCGAACTGCAATCCCTCGCCGTCACAGGAACATCCGCCCACTAGCGAACGACGCGTTGCTTGGACCATGGCTTGTGCATGGACTGCATTGCATACATGGATCATGGCTCTACTCCCATGTGTGTGTGTGTGCGTGTGTTGCGTAGCCGCTTGTGTTTGTGTTGGCGAGAGTTTACCTTACGCTCCTGTCCTTTGTATCTTACACTTGCCTGTTTCGTATGTTGTTTCGCCTCCGTTGCGTTGTCTCACGTTTGGTGTTCGCGTGGGAGACGTCCTAGTTATGCGCGTGCCCCGCTTCCAAACTGGGTCGGTTTGTTGTGCGCCCTTGTGGATGCGTGCTTATGTTTGCATTGTCGTGTGGTTGTTGATGTGACTGACTGTGTTGAATTGATTGGTTTCGCTTTGTTCTGTCTGTTGCTGTCTGTTGCTGTCTTCATCATCCCACTGCATGAATGTGTATTGAAACACAAATCAACAGTCTTCTGACACTTGCCATCGATAACGTCAACACGAAGCACAAACACACCAGCCACAACGTGCTCCAACATTGATCAACGCGCGCATACAAGTTGTCTCAACGCAAACGAGTATCCACCCACCCACCCACCCACACACACACACACACACACACACACACACACACACACACACACACACACACACACACACACACACACACACACACACACACACACACGTCATCACATGAGCTTGATGCAAAGTGTTTCGAAAGAAGGCCGTCTGGCCGGGTCTTGTTCCATGCACTGCAGCGCCAGCACCCGGAACCAGGTCGGAATGGCTGCAGCAGCAAAGGACAGACAATGTACTTGGAACGTGAGGGAGGTGGGCAACAGGGTTTCATGCAAAAGGTCAAGGTTGAGCGATACTGATAGATTTACGGAATCGACGACCTTGTTTGTGCAAACGCGTCCAGCACAACAATCACACAAGCACACACACAAACACAAACACAAACACAAACACATACACAAACACAAACACACCGTGCCCTGGGCCACCAGCGTGGTCGATGTACTCTTCTGGGAACGTGAGCCGTTTTCCATCGCTGAGGAGATTTAGAAGCGTCGCCAGCATCGGGCCCTGGTAGTCAGGTAGCTCTTGCTCAATGAGGTCAGGGGTGCGTTGCGTTGCAATCTCCCACAGCAGCACGCCAAAGCTGAACACGTCCGCCTTGCGGTCATACACGCTACCCGTCAGCGCCTCTGGCGCCATGTACAGCGGTGTGCCCACACCGGCTGTCAGGGCCAGCCCAAGTGTCTGCCCGCCAACCTCCTGCGAGTACATCACATCCGCTGTTGCTGTTGTCTGCACGGGCTCTGCGGACAGCCGCTGGCGAATGGTTCCAAAGTCCGAGATTTTGGCGCGAAGTTTGCTTGACACGAGCACGTTGCCGCTCTTCAGATCCCTGCCAAAGCATCACAGGAAATGGTAGGCATAGAGATTGATGTGCAACAAAGCGTAAGCACGTTGCTTGCAGGCAAATGTGCAACAGTCACAGGTAACGATGACATGCATGGGAAAACATGCATGGATAGATGGAACGAAAACACTCGCGACATAACTGGTTCACGCACACACGCACGCACTCACTCACGCACGCACTCACTCACGCACTCACTCACTCACTCACTCACTCACTCACCCACTCACTCACCCACTCACTCACGCATGCACTCACTCACTCACTCACTCACTCACTCACTCACTCACTCACTCACTCACTCACTCACGAGCAGACATGCACACCCACCCACTCACTCACTCACTCACTCACTCACTCACTCACTCACTCACTCACTCACGAGCAGACATGCACATCCACCCACGCATGCACTCACTCAAACACACACATCCACTCACTCCTTCACGCACTCACGCACACACATCCACACACATGCACATCCACTCACGCACACAACACAGACCTGTGCATTTGGTCGAGGCTGTGGATGAATGCCATGCCAGATGCGACGTCATGAGCCAGTCGAACCTTCAGGTCCCACGCATTAGCCACCTCCGCATCGTTCACACCCTTGTTCCCTGTGAACGACGTGCGAAGATGATCAGTCGACGTCTTGCTCTTCTTGTTGGACGTGACCACAATCAGCTGCTGCTCTTCATCGTCAATCCTCACATTCATATCATCGCCATCATCGCCATCACCATCGTCTTCTTCGTCAGCAGCAGCAGCGGCGTCGGCAGCAGCGTTGATGCGGTGGTGGTGTAGCACATCAGCCAGGTTCTTCTTGAGCAAGTCTCGCAGCGAGCCCATTGCCACAAACTCCAACACAAGAAAGGGGGCATTGTCGGGTGTTTGGCCCGCACCAAAGAACCGCACCACGTGTGGGTGGCGTGTCTTCTGCAGGAACGACACCTCCTTCTCAAACTCGGCTTCGGTGTTGGCGTCGAAGAAGGCAGCAGCGCTCTGTTGCCCAAACACCTTAACCGCGACGATGATCGTGTCCCATTCTGCCTTGAAGACGACTCCAAACGCGCCGCTGGCCACGCGCCGAATCAAACGCATTTGGTCGTACGGGATCTGCCACGCGGACCTGAGTGCCAGCACTTCTGCGTTCGTCACCTCCAGCAGGGCCTGTCCAATGTCGCGCTGCTTGCGAAGGCGGCGCACGCGCCGCTTGTACCACAGCCGTGTCAGGTAGATGCACAAGGGCATGATTGCAAACACGGTGCCAAAGGTTATCTCCAGGACGGGTGTTGTTCTGGGATGACAGCGGCCGTTGCGGTTGCGAAACTCGTGTGCACACCGGCACTCGTGGGTGAAGGTGACTTCTGTGGACGGGGAGTCAGCGCCCTCTCGAATCGCGCGAACGCTTTGCAGTTGCAGATTGCATGCAACAGGGGAGCCTTGCAGCGACAGGATTGGAATTCGCTCCTTGGCAGGAATCACGTCTCCGCCGATGGTGGAGAGGTCATCGGGTGCGAGCGCGAGCGTGGCTGCCGTGCCTGCACGCACCGCTCGCAGGCTTTGGAGCTGCGGGTTGTTGCTAAAATCAACAACATCAACCTCGCTCACACATGCGCGCAGCACGCGCGTCACGATCTCATCTTCAATGCTGGCGGCGCTCAGCAGCGCACGTGCAAACAAACGCGAGCGCCCCTGCTGTGAGCACAGCGCGTCTGAGAACGGGATGCGCGTGTTGCTGATGTCAAGCGTGTCCACGTTGAGGGTGTTGAGTGTGGCGAGCTGTTTAGAGTGCGAGACGTTTAGGTACGTAACGTCAGTGCTGATATTCACAGAGCCAAGCTGTGTGTTCTCTTCCAGATGCACGGCGTTGAAGGTTCGGGAAGGAAGCTCAAACTCGCGAATCGCTGTGCGGGTGAGGTAAAACTCTTGCACGCTGTCCGCAAGGTTGTTTGCTAAGATGCTTGCAAGCAACTCCGGGTCGTCCATGCCTGGCCAGCCAATGCCAAAGCTCTCCAGGGTTGTGTTGGCAAAGGGCGTGAGGTCGGTCACCACGAGGTTTCGAACGTCCAGTGTGTCCACGTTGCGCAGACTCTGTTGGACAGACTCATCGGCGGAGGAAAAGACCAGTTTTGGCGTGTGTTGCTGCGGGGTGGCTGCAATTTGCAGCGCGGTCAGGGTTGTCAGATGCAGGATGTCGTCCAGATTGAACCCAGGTAGGTGGTGCCCGTTGATGTTGAGCACCTCGAGTCTGCGCAAGCTCGAGAGGCCGTGCAGCGATTCGAGCGGGTTGCCGGCCAAGTACAACAGGGTGAGGTCTGGCATGGATGACACGTTCAGGGTGGTGATGGCATTGCCAGGCACATGCAGCTGAGTGAGCTTGGTGGCGTTGTGCTGAAAGTGGGGCGGCAGCGCCGTGATTCGGTTGCCTGCCATGCTGAGCTCCTCCAGCACAGCGGAGTCTGCCAGAAACGTGTGTGGCAGGGATGTAATCTGGTTTCGGTCCAAGTCGATGTCCACAAGGGAGTGCAGCCCACGAAATGTGCCCACCACCACCTCCTTGAGACGATTCACCTGGAGCGCAAGGTATTTGAGGTTGGTCAGGTCCACAAATGTGTTTGGTTGGAGGGTTTCAATTTTGTTGTTGTGCAGTGTGAGGTTCACGAGTGCAGAAAGGCCAGCGAAGATGCGAGGAGGGAGGGCTGTCAGTTCACAGCTGTGAATCTTGAGCTCATGCAACGCTGTGGTTGTTTTGAACAGCTGTTCCGGCAAGGTTTGGAGGGAGGTGCCATGTAGAAGCAGCGTGTGCAGTGCAGTCTGGGCTGCAAACACGCTGTCAGGCAATTTCGTAAATGCATTGTCGTGAAGGTGAAGGGTTTGCAAGGCGGTCAGCACCTCAAATGTGCTGCTTGCAAGCACGGTTAAAGCGTTGCCATCCAGCTGCAGGTCAGTGAGAGCACTCAGGGCAGAAAACGCCGTCTCATCGATGTGTGTGAGCCCGGCACTGGTGAGGTCAAGCGTTGTCAGCTTCGTCGTGCTCGCAAACGCGTTGGCGGGCAGGGACGCAAGCGGGTTGTTGTCTGCCACCAGCACCTCCAGGTTCGGCACGAAGCCCAAGAAGCGTGACAAGCTCGTGACGGCATTGTCGGTGATTGTCAATCGCTTAATGTTGGGGAATGACTTATCCTCAGGTGCTGTGAGGGTGGTTGTCGTCCCGCCAATCAGCGCCAATTCCGTCAGAGATCCCATGGTGTTCGTAATGGCTTCCAAAGACACTTCTGACTGTGGGAGCCCGTGAACCGTGAGTGACACGACGTTGTTCCACCAGCTGTCACCAGCCGGGGCGAGAATGCAAGCGAGGTGTTCCGCGGTGACGCCGTCTCGTAAGACAATACCCACAGTTCTGTCGCGAAGTGCCGCACAGTCCGAGTCAGGTGCACAATTCCCAAGCCTGTGTGTATTACAGCGCTGGTTGGCGATGATATCCAAGATAAAAGTTCCATCATCTGGCACGTTGCATGAGTGGCCAAGCACCCCGCCCATTCCACATCTGACAACTGGTGTTGACCCTCGGTCTCTCCGCTGTCTCATTGACCGTTGTTGTAGCTGGTGCTGGTGCTGCTGCTGGTTGTTGCGTTGGTGTTTGTCGGTGGCTTCGTGTGCGGTCCTCGTCACGGCGTCGCCGTTGTTGGTGTGTACGCCGCGCGAGTGAGTGGGTGCTTGCCTTTGCGGTGTTTGAGGCAAGTGACAGGAGTGCGCCATGAGCGCACGAAGAGGCTGCAGTCTGGGGTCTTCTATGCGCTGGCTGCCTTGATTGTCCGCTCCTTTATTGCTTCGATCACCGGCATCACCATAGCGCACCAGTGTGGCCAGATCTGCTTCGATCGATGCCAGTGATGCGTGTGCTGCGGCACAGAGTTCAAGGGGTGCAGTGCGCGACCCCAGGTTGGCCGGGGAAGGGGGAGGCAGAGGGTCTGTGAATTGGTTCTCCTCATCGGATGGACTGGAAGCGTCGGTGGTGTTTGTGGTTGTGGAACGAGGAGGACGCAGCGCACTGCCACCCTCTGCTCCGAGACAAGAACAAGGGCACGCCACTACGACCACCGCCACCAACAGCGCCACTGCCCAGCATGTCGGCGAGCTGGACAAGGGAGCACGCTGCGACGGCATGGCAAGCTACGTGTGTCGGTTGGTGGTTTGGTGAGGGAGGGAGGTTGAGCGGATGGGAGGATAGGAGGATGGGGAGGGTTGAGGCTTTGAGCTTGAGGGAGAAAAGAGAGAAGGCGAGCGACGGGGTTGCGGAGTAAGTGAAGAAGGGCAAGAGCAGCACACGCGCCACACGACTTGCTTGGTCTTTGTTCTGCACGCTTGCTCGTTGTGTGCGGCCTGCATGTTGTTCTTTGTTCTCCGCCCAGACAAAGAAGGGGAAGTGCGTGGAAGTGTGGAAGTGAGGAAGTGTGTGCCTGCATGCTTGCAAGGTTGTCCCACACGACTTGTGGCGGGGAAATTTCTTGTGGAAAAGTTGTTGTTGTTCCTGGTGCTGCTGCTGTTGTTGTTGTTCGTGCGTGAGACAAGGGTTGCCGTGTCGTGCATCAGTGCATCATGTTGTCTTGTCACATCATACATCGACACCACAGCGCATCCACGCGCCACAGTCACACGTTGACATGTTTATCGCATGATGATTCAACGAGTCCAAATGCACAGACACACAACACACACACACACATGGCATACACACACACACACACACACACACACACACACACAAACATATGGCAAAGACACACACACACACACAAACACTGGCAAAGACACACACAAAACATACACACGGCGCAAAACCACGACAGCTGACCACTATGAAGCAGGATACATTAGGACATCCACATCATCCACACCAACCATCCCCATCACCAACCATCCCCATCACCACTGTCCCTCCCTCGACCCAAGCCCAAGCAAAAGCGCCAGCGTAACTGCCACCCCTATTGCTGTGTCAGCGTTTGATATCGTTTTCAGCTGAGCTTGCTCGCTTGGAGGTCACGGGCCAGCTGTGTCACCCCATTCTTGGCTGTGTTGCTCGAGACACCACCATCATCATCACCATCAGCAGTGCTGTGTCCTGTCCTGTCTGCAGCTGCTGCCATGGGCGCTCCGTGGCGTGGAGCGTGTCGTTGAGGGTCCTCCTCCTCCTCCTCCTCCTGCTGCTGCTGCTGTTGATGTGAAGGGGTTGGTGCGTCACCAGTATTTCCATTGGTCCAGTCTCTTGCATCTGCACTGTCGTCCTTTGAGTCTGCACTGCGGTCTCCAGTTCTCTGCGTTGCATCATCACCATCACCATCCTCACCAAGACCAACATCATCCTCACCAAGACCAACATCATCCTCACCAAGACCAACAACATCATCATCATCATCGTCATCGTCGTCGTCGTCCGCAAGGCTGAGCTCCGTGCCGCCGTTCATGAGCGTCGTGGCGGCGGTTGTGTTGGCGCTGTCGGCGGTGTTGTGCTGCTGCAACTGTGCACCCACCTCCTTCAGCTCGTTCTCGGCAACAACGGATATGGCCTCGCTCATGGCAGCGTCAAACGCGAACGGCTGCTGCGCCGCTCGTGCCTGTTGCTGCGCATCGCTCTGCATCATCTGCGACACAGATGACACCGCAGTCTATTGCGCCGATGGGTTGTTGCGGGGGGCGGGGGGCGGGTTGTGATTGCGGTGCGTGCGTGTATGAGTAAGTGCGTGTGCGGCGTGCGTGAGTGTGAGCGTTTTAGTGTGTGTGTGTGTGTGTGTGTGTGTGTGTGTGTGTGTGTGTGTGTGTGTGTGTGTGTGTGTGTGTGTGTGTGTGTGTGTGTGGAAGGAAGACGAAGCGGTGCACGTTCAAAGGAAAGAACTGGCGAACGGTATCATGCTTAGAGGTACGCCTACACATGCCATCAATCATACACCCACACGCACACACCCACAGACACATCCACACACAGACACACACACACTACGCACCTGCAGCTCGGTCCATTGTTGGCGGGTGGCAAAGAGCTGATCAGCGAGACGTTGCCGTTCCGTCTCACTCGCTCGCAGCTGTGAACGGCAAGATGGGCACACATGTTCGGGTTAGGATGGCGAAGCGTTGGGGGGGGGGGTGTTGACGGGGTTGTGGTAGTCAGAGCGAAAGCAAAGGGGCAACGTGAGGTGGAAGTGAAACACAAGTGCGTGTGCGTGTGTGTATGTGTGTGTGTATGTGTGAGTGAGTGTGTGAGTGAGTGAGTGAGAGAGAGAGAGAGTGTGTGTGTGTGAGAGAGAGAGAGAGAGAGAGAGAGAGAGAGAGAGAGAGAGAGAGTGTGTGTGTGTGTGTGTGTGTGTGTGGAGGTTCATAAGCAAAAGCAGGAGCAAAAGCAGGAGCACAAACGGGGGTGAGCTGCCAAGTCAACAGCACGGATGAGAAACACACACACACATCGTTTGTGACACAACAACAACAAGTGCCCAATCTCCCGTGATCATCCACAAGCACACACCTGTGATTTGAGCTGGTCCACGCTCTGTGATAGTTGTAATACGAGGGTGATGAGCTTCTCCCGCGGCAACGCGGCAACACGGTCTGCTGTGCTTGACATGGCCCTTGCGCTTGCGCTA